ATAGCAAAACCCTTTTTGTAGAAGCTTTGATACTTTTTGGGAAACAGCCCACTCGAGATTTGTATTTTGGCTTAAAATAGCAAGATAAAAAACGGGAAGTATAATTTTTTAATATCAAAGAGAACAAAACTTGAAAATCGCAAGTGTTGTTAAAAGATTCACCATAATTTATCTAACAAGAAAGTTACACCGCCGCCGACTCAAAGGTGAAGACTAATCAAATAAAGACGACCATTTATTACAAATTCACTTCTTGAAGAAGTCGTACAAGTGGGAATGCGATTTCTGTGGAGGCGAACGCTATTGCATCCAATATCATTACGGAGCCTGCCTATCTTAAACTGGTTATTTGAAATACAGTTAGCCGAGAAGTCCGGCAATTAAAACCAAATCTACGCGCTGAAAACGCATTCCTGCTGTGTCAGTGTTCTGTTTTTGCCAACGTTGACACTAAAAAGCCGACATGAAAATAAGTCACCGCAATACCTTGAAACACATTCGGCGCTAGGGATGGCACTCGCGGAGTGCCGATGCCGGGAATAAATTCAGGTGGTTTTGCGTTTTAAATTTAGATCCTCGCTTCTCTCGGCAAGAGTGAGTGGAGCTATTAAAAGTTAAACCGGTGGAATGAAGTAATCGGTTGAAGGTATTGCGGATTCTTCGGGAAAATCTCAAAAGTTTATTGTAGATCGCAGATGCGTCATTTTCCTGGCAGATAACAGTCGGATATCGTTGTGTGGTTGGCGTTATCGTGGGATTGAATGTAAACTGTACAATAAAAATTTTAATGTGTTTTCCATTTACGCATGTTGTGTCTTGGATTGCTGGCGAAAAGACAAAATAACGCATACATCTTGGTGTAAACAGAAAATTTGTGTTGAAACGATCTAACCGTTAACGATAGTGTGAAGCCTTAGTAGCTTTTAAAAGCAGTGGTTGATTTTTTGTTTGGTTTGAAAGTTAAGCTAATGGTTTCTATCTACTTTCAATATTTTTTATTGATCACACGTTTTTCCGGTGTGTTTTATTTTCAATAAGTTGGATTGGTAATTTTTAAAAACTAGAACGAAGTGTAAGTTCGAGCCAGACAGGTATCCTCAACTGAAAATTCATTTATAATATTTAGTGGCAATGGTTTTCCCCAAAATGCCGTCACACTTTAATTACATTGATTGTACACAAACTGACTTCTCAGATTCTGTTGTGAATTCTGTTTTAGCATGATGTATATGCTGCTTTTTGTTAAAGAAAACTTTACGCCTTACTAACTACATAGTTCAATCTATATTATAGATCCATATACTGTCGCATTTGCAACAATATTTGTTTCCTGCTTAGATAAAGAAGAGTGTTTGGATGAGAAGACGAGGTACAATTAAACAAGTCAAACGATTTTATGACGTTCGGCCCTGATTGTCCTGATCTTCTCATCCAAACACTCGGTTTGGATTTCTTGAGAAAATTTTGATGCTTAGGGTAAAAAATCACAACCACAAATATAGGAGTATGTTAATGTTCTAAATTTAAATGGCGTTTACTAAAAAAATATTACGGGACCTCATCGAATTGTTAGTGGGATGATCAGCCAAATTTTGGCTAGCTCTTTGAGTTTTTTCACATCCTTTAAATCCGTAACGTTCTTCACATCTTTTAGATCATCGTTACCCTTCACATTTTTTAGATTCCAGAGTTCTCATGTCTACTGAAGACTTTAGATAATCTAGATACTCTAGATCCTTTAACCCTTCTAGACTTTTTAGATTATTTAACTTTTCACATCATTTGAATCTTTGAGATCATTCACAACCTCTAAATCTGTGAGATCTGTAACATCTTTTACAACTTTGTAACCCTTCACATTTTTTAGATCCCTGAGATCTTATTAGGATCCTGTGTAGCCTTTGAATCCTTTGTATTCTGTACTTTTTTTGGATTCTTATGGATCCTCTGTTATCTGAAGTGTTAGGTAAGCTAGATCCCTAGACTTTTTAGATCTTTTTAAATCCTACATCTCTTTAAATTCGTTTTCACATCTTCTAAATCCTTGAGACACTGTAGAACGTATAGTAATAATATTAAGTATTTCACACGCATCAACCTAAAATGATTTAAAACAGAGATTTTTTATTTTTTTTTTTTATCCTTCTGGATCCCGTATGTTATCAGAAGACTTTAGTTAAGCTAGATCCCTTAAATTCCCGAAATAAATAATGCAGATGCACCAAATATTTCAGACCTTTAAATCTTCTAAAGATTTTAAATCCCTGATATCCTTAAGATCTTTTAGATCTATGAGGTATTTGATATATTTTTAAATTCTTGATATCCCTCACATTTTTTGGTTCTTTGAGATCATCTAGCACCTTTAGATCTCTGAATTTTTTAGGATCTATGTTGGCTAAGGACTTTGGATAATACAGATCCTTAAATTGTTTTTTTAGACTCTTCAGATAATTTAAATCCTTTATATCATTTAAATCTTGGATGTCCTTTACATCATCTAAATCTGTGAGGAACGCATATACAATTTTCTATGACAATTTCAAAAGGCTGAAGTTTTCAAACTTCGTCGATAATTAGGAAGATATTGTGGTTAAATAAAAAGAGCTTTTATATTGAGTGTTGTTAGATCGAAAAAATATTCATAGTATCTAATCAATATTCATGTCAACATATATTTTTTTGAATATGTTTACATTGTCCATTAAACATAAATAAAAATAACTACTACCTTAATTCTTAATGAACCTAGTACACATACGAAAAAAATATCGTCGTTAGAAATCGATACCTTACTGTAACGCCTAGTTTCTTACTCAATTTTTATTGAAGTATTGTAACAGAGTCCATCGAGCGACTGGCTTCTTTCGTGTTTTCCGATGTTTCATGACCCTCATATTACGAAAAAAATGGTTCCCGTTTCCCTCTGCCTGCCGTCTTTGTCAATTTTTTTTAATCAGATAATCTCCGAAACTATCGAATCGGTTGTCGTTAAATTTTATCATCATGTGGATAGTAAAGCACTAACCAAAATTTGCCTAATTATCTCCACCAACATTTTTTTTTCAGTAAATGCGAGTTAAATTTTTTTAATTCTATAGGGCATTAAAAGTTTTAAAAATATTTTACAGTACGAAAAATGATGTTCGTATCATTTTGACTGAAACGTTTTACTAAAATCTGAAAATACCTTTCAGTGCAATTTTAATTCGATTGTTTATGTGGCGGTGGGCATGGATAACTGTTCCGTGTCAATCGAATTAGATAAGCCATTAAAAGGTCTCCAATTTTTCACACAATTAGCATACTACGGTTCGCTCTTTTTAATATTCCACTGAAATTCCATCAAGTAAACCCCAACTGATATCGTCTGCGGAAATTGCCAATTTTAAATTATGACCTCACTTCGAGGCAGATAGCCTCTGTCAATAATGTAAATTTACATTACGAAAGCACGGAAAATGGTGCCTTTGATCAAATAAAACAATGCGGTATATATAAGTATAGCAGTTACGGTTTTGTGACAAAATTTCTAATTTTAAATTTCACAAAGCAGCCCAACATTTAAGAGTTTTATCTGTGTTAACTTTGGAAATTATGTATATATGTAATTGTTTAAAAAATGAGATAAGATTATTATTGTTTCACTGGGAAAACCCAATTTGAAGATATAAATGAAAATATCACAGTTTCGGCCACAAAATCTTGCAGCAGTTCTGAAATTTGCCATGTTTGTCATTTTGACGTAGACTGGAATGTGGATGATGACGTATGTCAAAATTTATATAACGTATGTCAATATTTATATTTTAAAAATGTCAGTCATTATGACAATAAAGCATAGACTACATCGTGTTTTTTTTTAAATGACAGAAAAATAATGCCCAAGATTTTATGGCCGAAACTGTACCTTTTGTTTCAAGTACCGACACAAGTCATAGTTAAACAAAAGGACCTCGCCACAAAAAGCTTCTGCATTATTATTAAATGTTTGTGCTCTAGTTATGAGGATTGAGCAGCTGTGTCAAGTGTCTTGAAGTTCTGTAAACTACTTCTTTAACTGTACCCCATAGAAAAAATTTGAAGGCACAATATCTGGACTTGTGATCCACTTGTTAGTAAAGGCCATGTCAAGCTAATCTCGCACCCTGCTAGGATAATGCGGAGGAACACCGTCTTGTTGAAGGCATATTTTTTTTATTGTTTCCAAATGATCGGTTAGTTTGAATAAAATTGAAATAAGAATTCTCGTTTAAATTGTCCCTAAACAAATACGGACCAAAAATTTGGTTTTTTTTTTATTAGCCCTCAGTTAATTAAAATAATCAGTTTTCTATCATTTTAGTCTCTGAGAGTCATCGACATTCAAAAGTTGATAGACGTCGAAACTTAGCTATTTTTGAGAACCCCTGAAAATTTATTTTTGGTTGAATCACCCTCTATTAAAATGAACAAAAATGTGTTTAAACCAAAAAATTTAGTGTTTGGAAACATAAATCTGCCCTCGCTTAGTTTTACATGGCACCCCGCATCTGCTTCCTAACCAATTATCACGATCGTTAATCTCTAGCGCAGCTCCTACATTTTTTGAAATTCCACAAAGCACTAATAAACCGAACGATAACCCTTCTCGTTACGTTTTGCCTTGTCCATGCCCTCCCAATCAATTTTAATAAAAGAGCTGACACATCCGAGTTTATTGCCTACTAAACCGGCACCTCCAACATCGCCGTCCCGAAATAAAAACCCTAATTCCTCTGACATCACCCCGTCCACGTCAACCTTCCCATTCCCACCGGCGGCCATCCCAAAATACCAATAAACGCATCGCTCCGGCTCCGACGTCCCGTCATACTTTATCACGGACCTTATCAGCCAACCTCTGCGGCAGCGTAATTTTTTGCCACATCCAGTCGGTTTTTGTGCGTGCGCGCCGCCAGTCGCGGCCTTAATTGATGAGAACTTTGCCCGTGCTATAGTGGGTGTTTGTTGTGTTGCAGATGAACCGGCTGCCGCTCGAGGACGCCTTCCACTGCTGACCTCGGACGCCCGGCCTGGTGCCGCCGCCGCCATGGGCAACAACTGCTGCTGCTGCGGCAGCCGCCGGTCGCAGCCCGAACGGCTGGTCTACCCGGGCGGCATCAAAGCCGCTCACATGGACGGTAAAGTCGAAAAACGTGTTTGTTTGTTTGCTGCGGCTCTGATCGGAAAAGTGCACGGGGGAAAGGTCGGCAGTAAATGATTTGCGCGAATGCTGCTCGGGACCTGGGACGGGCGCCCAGAGAGGAGTGGGTGAGCCGTGGTTGAGGTTGAGCCAGAGGTGTGCAAAAGTATTTACGTGCGGTACGGCAAATGACCCGAATCATGTAATTAACACTGGTGGAAGTGAAGCTGAAATGTGCTGAGCAGATTTCACCCAATTTACAAGAGAAGGAATTTGTTGTGGTTACGAAATAATCGAGGTCTTAGAGAACGTGTGGAATCTTCACATGTATTGTGACCCAATGTTGTGTAGGCAGACGTGCGCTGATGGTACTGTTTAGAACTTGAATCCTTGGAAATAACTGATTGGCGTAATTAATGTTAATAATCAGAAAAATGCAGACCGTTACTGCAATTTCTGTTTACAACATATTTGGAGGATGGTGACCGGCGTAAATCCCACCCACGTGGGTCTTCTGTGTCAAATACCACATGCGAAACATCGCCAGGTGTATAGGAGGTGTTACTATTTATGACTAGTGGCAAAAAGACCAGCTTTTACTCGTAGATTCGATGATTAACACGTAGCTTTGACCATTTGGTTCTGGTCGAGAAATGAAGACGACAAAATTTTTAGCGGATATTTGGTATCATCAAATTTTTGATAATCGAAATCGCTCCTACGTGAGGGTCAGGTGCATCATTGCACTGGCGGTTTGTTTCTTTACCCACTAGGATCCGGTATATGATAATAAATTAATCACCTACCGGAATTTCCCAAAAGTCGGCGTATAATGGAATTTGTTCCATAATTTTAAAAGAATTTTAAAGAGACGTAAGTTCAAAATTATAAATCTTCGAGGAATCGTGACCACCGTGACGTTTTGGAACCTCAGTTTGAAAAAATAGCATCATCTACAGTAGAATTTTAACATTTGAGGAGTTGAAATACTACAACGAATGAATAAAATAAGGATAATGCGTGGGCGTGTGCGTGTACGAACGAGAGCTCTGCTTTACATAATTGAAAAGGAAATAAGGGCGTTATTGATTTTGGGCCATTATATCGGGTGTGTGTATTCTAAAAACATTTTCAAACACGAATTTTCCAAAAATCTGGTTCGGAACCGTCAACACCGTGTTTTTTCGATTTAGCTCATGCACACATTTCCAACAATCTTTTAAAGATTTTTAGGCAACTTATCAAAAATTTCAATTTGTCAACACAATTTTTTCAAATCACCTCGTCCAAATGTGTTTCCCAAAATTTTTTAAGAATTTTTAGTCAATTTTTCAGAAATTTCATGTTTTCAGTATGAAAAATGATTCATTTTTAAACCGAATTTTTCGAAAATCTTGGTGCGGGACCATTAATTTATTTTTTTCTAATAAGATCGTCCTGAATTGTATCCCAGAATTTCTTGAGGATAAACTTTTCTAAAGAGCTCATTATTTATGCACAATCTTTTTACGATTTTTCGAGATTTCGTTACGTTTAAAAAATTCCGTTTTCGAAGCGAATTTTTAGAAAATTTTAATCTGGGACCATTGCCACTTTATGTTTTAGTATCAATTCGTGTAAATGTATTTTCAGAATTTTTTGGGGATTTTTGGGCAGTTTTTCAGAAATCTCAAATTTTCAATACCTCTGTCTCTTATAATTTTTTTGGTTTTTTCGAAATTTCAATATTCCAAGAATTTCATTTTCAAACCGAATTTTTCGAAAATCTTCACACATAATTTTTAAACTAACTGGAGATCTTATCACAGAATTTTTTGGCAATTTTTCAAAAATCAACTTTTTAAACCCCCTGATTTTTTTCCAAGATCTCTAGATATTAAAAAATATATGTCTTCCAACAGAATTATTGAACATTTCATAAATCTCTATTTATTTCTCAATCTGAATTTCGAGGTTTCCAGGTTTTTAAAAAAACTCATATTCAAACAGAACTTTTCGAAAATCTTAGTCGAGGACCATTAACACTGTTTTTCGAATCAACTCTCCAGATCAATACCACTACATCTCTTTTTTTAGAATTTTTAGTATTTTTTAGGTTTTTTTGTGAAAAACTCAATCTTTCCACACAATTTTTTGATTGCTTTTCCAGATTTCGAAACATTTAAAACAATATTTTTCCTAGAATTTTTTGAGGATTTTTGGACAATTTTCAAAAATCTCGAAATTTTAATACCCTCCCGTGTGAATCTTTAGACATTTTTTTGAGATTTCGAAATAAAAAAAAAATATTTTCAAACTATTATCAACACTTTATTTTTCGAATTAGCTAGTTGAAATCTATATCCCAGATTTTTTTTACCATTTTTGGAGATTTCGGAATACTAGAAAAATTCATTTTCAAACCGAATTGTTCGAAAATCTTGGTGCGGGACTATTAACTTATTTTTACTTCCCGAGCGTAAGCAAAGGAAGTATTGTAATCGAGTCCGTCGGCCGACTCTCTACTTTTACGTTTTCTCGATCTTTCATGACCCCTAGAAGACGAAGAAATAGGTCTCCCATTTCCGTCTGTCTGTCCGTCCGTCTGTCCGTCCGTCTGTCCGTCCGTCTGTCCGTCCGTCTGTCCGTCCGTCTGTCCGTCTGTTGTCCCGGATTTTATTAGACAGATAATCTCCGAAAGTACTCGACCGATTGTTGTGAAATTTTGTACTTATATTAAGAATATCATGTAGATGGTAAAACGCTAACCAAAATTTGTCTAATCATCCCCACCACTAATGCGATGACGTCACTTCAAAATTGCACATAGTAAATGGGTTTTCAATTGTATAAAATAACATAGTCCTACACATGTAGTTTACAACTCTGAATCGACTTTTCACCCGAAACGTCCAGATTTTTGGAAAAAAAATCAAAATTATAAAACAACATTTTGAAATTTAATTTTTAATCTGCTAACCAGAATGCTTTGAAATGTTGCAAATGTTTTAAGGCTATAAAGAGCATCATAAATCTTTAGTCAAAAAATATTTGCTTATCCCCTCCAAAAATTTGATGACGTCAGCTCAAAAGTTTGCCGAATAAATCATATCTAAAATGTACAAAATATGATGAGCCTGTACTTGTCATTTATCACTCCATTCATATTTTTTGGATTTGCATATACAGGGTGACTCAAAAAAATTAATGAATGCGTAAATATATTTTATTGATTTAATCAGGAACTACAAAACCGAATGCTCTGAAATCTTGCAGATGTTTTAAGGTCATAAAGAGCATAATAAATGTTTAGTCAAAATATATTTGCTTATCCCCTCCAAAAACTTGATGACGTCAGCTCGAAAGTTTGCCGAATAAATCATATCTAAAATGTACAAAATATGATGAGCCTGTACTTGTCATTTATCACTCCATTCATATTTTTTGGATTTGCATATACAGAGTGACTCAAAAAAATTAATGAATGCGTAAATATATTTTATTGATTTAATCAGGAACTACAAAACGGAATGCTCTGACATCTTGCAGATGTTTTAAGGTTATAAAGAGCATAATAAATGTTTAGTCAAAATATATTTGCTTATCCCCTCCAAAAACTTGATGACGTCAACTCAAAAGTTTGCCGAATAAATCGTATCTAAAATGTACAAAATATGATGAGTCTGTACTTGTGATCTATCACTCCATTCATATTTTTTGGATCTGAATGTACAGGGTGACTCAAAAAAATTAATGAATGCGTAAATTTATTTTATTGATTTACTCAGGAACTACAAAACCGAATTCTTTGAAATCCACTGCGAAAAAAAAACATAATAGGCATACAGTCGTCACGTTTTCGACAGCGAGGGAAGTACTGTCTAAACTCTTTAGACCAATTTTTTTCTAATAAGATCGTCCTGAATTGTACCCCAGAATTTCTTGAGGATAAACTTTTCTAAAGAGCTCATTATTTATGCACAAACTTTTTACTGTTTTTCGAGATATCGTTACGTTTAAAAAATTACGTTTTCAAAGCGAATTTTTAGAAAATTTTAATCCGGAACCATTGAGAGGTTATGTTTTAGTATCAATTCTTGTAAATATATTTCCAGATTTTTTTGGGAATTTTTGGGTAGTTTTTTTAGAAATCTCAGATTTTCAATACCTCCCTCCTTTATAATTTTTTTGGTTTTTTCGAGATTTCAATATTCCAAGAATTCGAATGTTTTTGAATTTTAGAATACTAAAAAAATTCATTTTCAAACCGAATTTTTCGAAAATCTTACTGTATGTTTTTCCAAGTCAAATCTTTTTCCAAATTTCGAGAACAGTTACAGTGCAATTAATAAACACAGCACGCTTTTTTTCTAGCTTTTGCATCTAAACCTCGTTTTATTTCTCTTCAGTCTCTTTCTAAATTCGTATTTACGAACTTCCTGTCGTTATCTCTTTGTTTCTACCAACTTCGTTTTTGTCCTTACTCGGAATTATCCTTATCTCTCATTGTTTTTTCCTGCGTTGCCGTATTTTGTGAAGTAAATACAAGTAATTATTAGTTTTTTTATTTTACTAAACATTTTAATTAATTCATTGCTCGTAATTGTGATTTTTATTCGTGGAAACGCCTAAACCTAAAACAGCAAAGTACGATCCAAAATAAAATTTTCATGTAGAGGATGTCTCAACAGTCTGGTGGCAGAAGATTGCACATTTATTCTAAACTGTTAAAAAAATCCATACAACTGTTTTCAAGTACTTACGAAACTTTTTTTTAATAAAACACCCATATATTTTTACAAATTTAAATATATATTCTTCAAAAAAAAATTGGAATTGAGGATTATGTAGTAGCCATTATAGCTAACAATTAATTCAATGTCAGTTTAATTTTGTGAAACTTGATTTAATTGAAGCTGAAAAACCAGTCGCGTTGTAATCCGAACAGATTTTTTTTCTAATTAAATGGTATTACAGTGAAGTGCCTAGCGAAGGAACAATTTGGCGAATTTCTGAATT